AAATATTTGTTTTGGCATTTCAATTCTTTGATTTTCGATTTGGTAATATATTGCTTCATATATAAGGATTATTACCTCTTTTCATATGTAAATTATAATTAGGGTAACTGCTTAAATATTGATGTCGTGGGCTTACTGATGGTTGCTTGGTAATACTTGCCATTGCCCAACCCATAATTAATTCTAAACTTCTGCAAAAAGTTTGAAACATAAACCAGGGCCATGGTTTAGGATACTGTGTAATAGTTGGTTCTGATCCATATTTCACAGTCTCAGCTAAAAGCCCTAAATTAAAAAAAAATTTTCTAAAAATATTTTTTTTTATTTATTATTATATTTATAATAAACTTAAATAATAATTATATATTTTATATTAAATTACCGTATGGTCCAAAAATACGTGCTATATCTGTAATACATAAAATAATCCCTAAAATCGCGGTTATATATGTTACATTCAATACTTTTTGAATTTGTGATCTTCTAACTGCTGCAGTATTTGCTTCTAACACATGTAAAGGAGTATCGGATTTAGTTCTATTTACGTATGCAATATGATTTAATATTGAATGAAGTGTGAAATCATTATTCTGAAAATAAATATTCAATTAAAATAATATAATAAAAATTTATTAGAATAAGAATATTAAATTTCGTAAATTATACATAATGTAATAATTTAACATAATTTTTTAAACAAATATAATTAAATATAGCTAATTATATTAGAAATACCGCAACTTTTCCGTCAACTTTAGTATTTTCAGAAAGCAAAGTCTCCACAGTTATATCTTCAACATCTTTTTTTTCTTTTTCGTTTTTCCAAGATAAATTTTTTTTTCGTGATTTTCCATCATTATCTTTATCTTTATTTTTTTCTGCCATTAGAGCTGCTTTTTCATTACAATCAGGTTGATCCGAATCAGATTCAGATTTTTCGTGTATTTCTATTTTTTCAGGAACTATATTACGACTATGAGTTGGACTTCTACTCAAGCTTCTAATGCTAATATCACTACTTCGACGATTTAAATCTAATGGCTTAACTTGAACGAATTCCGAATTACGTCGAAAAGAAATATCAGAATTTCTACGTAATTCGGCTCTGGAAATAAAACTGCTAACATCTGAATTACGTCTCGAACCTGAAATATTTAGATAATAATATAATATAATATAATATATAATAATATAATAATATAATATTTGGATTTATTTATAATATATATAACTCAATGCTTTAAGTTTTATTTACCTGTAGGGCTTAGATCTACTACTCTTGGTAATTTATGATCAGTTGGTGGTAGCATTCGTCTAGGTGTTCTATTTCCAAAATCGCTATTTCTTTTCAATTTAGCAGCAAATTGAGAACTTCTATTCTTTTCATGTGAAAAATCAGAACATCGTCTTAAATCTCTTATACTACCCAAAGGTGTTACATTTTCAGAATATCTTCGGTACATTCTATCTGGAGATCGTTTTCTATCAATATCAGGTGAATTTTTAGGACTAAAGTCAGAATTACGTCGACTATCGATTGAAAAACCATCTTCTTCATTTATGAATTTAACACTACATTCTGAATTTCTACGAGAAGATTTAGACACTTCACTATCTTGTCTACTAGCGACAGAACTTCTACGACTTGGACTGGATACTGTTATTATAGGTAAATTAGTTGTTGATGGTGTAGGTGTCGGAGGTCTAACATATACTTCTGGTACTGTTGATACTGGAATAGTTTTTTCTTCTTGAGATGACATACTTTTACAAGGAGATTTATCACAATCTTTTAGGATTTGTTCTTCTTTTTCAGATTTCGTAATTCCATCTATGATATTAAAATAAAAAAATTTTTTAAATTTAACATTTATAACTGTATTTTTATCTTTACCTTTAGAATTTTTATTCAACTCGTTTGTAAAAGATGCAGATTCTGTTATTTCTCCATCTTTAATTTTAGAATTGAGCAAAGTAGGTACTAAAGCAGCAGCAACAGATGATGCCAAATTATTATAAGGAGCTAACATTGCTAATTGCATAATACCTAAAACAATAGACACACAATATTTAATATAGAATATTGATGATAGCATATAAATAAGTATTAATATGACTTCTTTATGTCTATAGTTTTAAATAAATTAAAAATAATTTATATGTATAAACAAACCTTTCTGATGTGTATTGGAATCCCTCATTAACATACTATTTGGTACAGTTTGCAGTAAATGAATTAGCTTATATCCTGCATGTAGAAATATTAAATACAAAAGAATACTCCAGATAAGGAACACTATTTGGACTACATATTTTACCATGTAACAATTGTGAGAGATAAGAGCAATATCACTAGCAATTATGAAAAAAAAATGTCCTGTTATAATTAAACTAAGACAAGATTCTTTCTGAATTTTTTCTGGACCAAATTTGAGCTAAAATTTATTTATTACAATTTATTAATATGTATAAAATCATTTTTAATTAATATTTAATTTTTATCATAATATTAAAATTACCTGAGTTAATTGTAAAAATGCCAGTTGTATAAGACTAAAAGCAGATGTTATACATGGAAATCCAATATCCCACACTATAGATCCAATAATTTTGGGCATAATATCTTTAAGATTGTATGGATCTATAAAAAGACATGCTGCTCTTGATGCTCCAAATATACATAAAAACATATTTATTGTAGACATAAAAGGCCGGCTTGATATAAGGGATCTTTAAAAAAAATATAAAATATTTATATACTTTTATAATGTATATCATTAGAATAAAATATAATTTTATATATACCTTAAGTGTAAAATAGATAAAAATGTATAAAATGCAAGTACAAAGAAGAGACAGGCAAAACCATACATATGTAAAAAAAAAATCCATTTTAATTCTTGGTTTATTGATATCAATGATGGAGTAATGATTAATAATTTATCTAAAATTGAAGGTGTTGATAAATTTGAAATACAATTTTGTCCAGATAGTGATGTTGATGATATATTCATACCTATTAGTAAAGTGAAAATAATTGAATTATTATTTGATATAATGTTGATATAATATAAAATAATTATAAAATTGTCAAGTTTACTGTTACATAATGATTATAAAATCAGCAATTTTTTTTTATTATATCTTAATATTTACTACAGTAAATTATTTGTATATTTTAAATAATAATATAAAACTATAAATTATAGAATCACTAAATAAAAAAAATTAAAAATGTAAGAAAAAACTGACCACGGGTCCAATTACTCAGCTTATCCATAATCTTTAGATTGATATTCACAGCACATTACTAACTTTTTTCAAATGTTTAAATCGCAATAATGGACAATCAAATTCTTTTTTAATTCGAACGAGCAACTTATCGTAATAACGAACTTTGAAATGTGACTGCAGCAACAGGCTTTACTTATAGCAGTCCGATTAGCATCCCTTCTCTAATTCGCGAATACAATTCCATCCGTTTCTCTCACCCTCTCGCTAGAAATATTGATTTTAGACAAAGGATGATTGGGGGGAGAATTTAGACCATCTTAAGTTTTACGCTTGTTCATTATTTATTTTTAAAATATAAATAGAACATTGCTAAATTTATAAAATTAATTCTGTTTCATTGCTTATTATTATTATTATAATCGTATATTACTATTTAAAAATTTTTTATATTTTTCAAATTTAAATTATTTTTAAATTATAAAATTATTTTTTTATTTTAAAAATTTATTTAATAATTTATATATTGAAATGTTGTGACATTTTTTTATATAATTCAATTAATTAAAATTTAAAAATATTAAAATTGATTTAAAATTTAAATAAATTTGCTAAAGATATTAAT